GTGCCAATCGTCTGGAATGTAGCAATGCGTTAACAGTCTTTTATGTATCGCAAATTAAATAATACTAATTATATTTCAATTTATTCAAATAAATTTTTCAAAAAATGTTTTAGTTCAAGAACTGTATTGAACACTTTGTAATTCCAGTGAAAAGTAATTTTAATAAATAAATTCACTCAAAATAAAATTGAACAGAACAATAAGAATAATTCTGCTTCGGATTTTAAGGGAATAATGAATATAAGTAATTTAAACAATTTTGTATGCTTCCACTCGACCTACCATTTCCTGGAAATACTCTGTCAACTTAATGGGAAATATTCTTTCTGGAACTTTCTTAGGTCAGAATCAAAGCTGTATCTTTAACACAAACTGAGTAAACATGTTTACAATTAATAATGATCTAAATATTTAATCAATACTGGTCAGGTGAACAATCAACTTGATTTTGGAGAAATGCCAAGTACAAAATATAGGTACACATAACATAAGAAAAAAACCCAACAAGCAATATAAATTAAATAAACATAACACCTTGCAAGTATCATATGTAATCCATGCATATTTTAACATTGCCATCAACACATCCACAAGATCAGAAAATTTGCTTAACAATATATCTATCTAGGACTTAGTATATTTCCTTACCTAAGAAATAACACTTGAATGGTTACTCCTCTAGCAATATCAAACGCGGTTACGGTTAGGTGGAGAGTAAGTTGTGGATAATACATGAATGATGATCAGAGAGTTTGTGGATCTATTTGCTTTTGCATTTGATTTCAGTATATATTGACATGAAATCCACAATTTGATTGAAAATAAGAAATAGGCAGCCAATATATTTGGAAAAGAAAGAAGATATGCCATGTCTAGTGTTAACTTACACTGGAGGATTTTTCAATAAATAAATCAATATGAAAGCGAGTGGAGTTAATACAAGAGAAAATAGCGTGATTTTTCTAATTTGTATACCAATCCAATGGTGAACGAATATTCCGCTCAAATTACATAGCAGCATTTTGAGCACAGTCGTAACGAACCTAAAATCAATTAAAGAAAAACTACACTTAAAGGAATTGGATCAGAGAGAATAGCTTCGTTCCTTGACGAATGTCAGTCACTTACAATAAACTCGTTATCAGCCAAATGCTGGGACTGACAGAGAAAAGCCGACCCATTGCAGGTTAGCTGTTTAAAGGTAGAGCTCCAATTACTTTATGACAAAACATGTAGAATATCAATAGTTTGTAATTAACTCTCAATTCATTGTGTTGCAAAATATAGCAAAGTTAAAACTGCACTTTTATATGATGAGCTGCAGTGGCTCAGTGGATAGCGTGCGGTCAAGACTGCACCTGATTTCACCAGAAAAGTAGGTTTTGGAGTTCAGATTTTGTTTAGTATGTCTGGTATCTAGAAATACACAAATTATATATATATTATTAGTAAATAAAATAATATATTTCACAAATGAAGTGAAGCACAACATATTGACACAAGTAGAGACGATTTAGAGGTTCTTTTCATTATATTTTTTCAAACAATAGCCGTCAATATTGATGAAATGAATTTGCGACAATTACAATAGTTTTATGCTTGCTACCTTTTAAAATTTATCCTCTGCAAATAATACTTCAAACTGTGAATTTATAAAAGTAATGACTGCTTTCAAAGGAAAGTGTAGAGATTTAAAAAAAAAAAAAACAATACAGTAAACATTGTTGGGTAGGAGTGCTAAAGAAATAACACGGAACGGTTATATCCGGTTAAATTTTTTAATGATTGTGGGTTTACTTGGTGGATGTTGGTTATTTATTTTGTACATTCTGCATTAAAACGTGCATTATTATCATTGGCAACCTTAAATGCCTGTATGGCAGCAGAAGCTGTACATAAGTTTTGATTGTCACTTTATTATATTCCTCAATGCCCCATTTCGCCATCGTTTGCAAACATGATTATGATTGTGTTTAAAAGTTAGAATCACAACCTAAACAACTTTATTACTATACTGAACTAGGTGTTGTTTCTTAAAGGTGTTTGTTGTCATGAAGTGTAATAGATAAAATGATGGTAAAATATCTAATATCAACAGTTCATATAAGTTCAGTCACTCACCATTTGCATGATTAAGGTGCTAAATAAACAAAGTTAATACTAGAAGCCTACCTTTAGTTTTTTGGAGTTCATTTTCTAGGCATTTTAGCACCAATGTATCCATTGAATAAATGCACATGAGATGATCTACAACTCTGACATAACAGCTAAGGTGGTCAAAGTAGTGAGATAGCGTACGCCTCATGTGCGGGAGGGCGCGGGTTCGAAACCCGGACTATTCACAACAAAGGCTTACAAAAATGGTATAAGTAGTTGCTTTGCATGGCGCTTAGCCTTAAAAGGTTAGTGTTAGGACTTGTTATGGGCAAACACATTTCATAAATGGGAGAAGACAGTAGTTCCAAAAGTGATGTTGCCACCATGTCGATAAAAGTGGTATCGCCAATTTATTGATATCACTTTTTCTACTCATACGTATATATGCTCAATTTTAATCTGATGTCAATGATCTGGCATACAATTTGGATGTTCAGTTCCTTATTTACGCATCGCAAGCACAGTTTAGAAATATATATTTATTTTGAATGAAGTCCGTGCGTCGATAGCCGTTAATACAAGTAACTATTTTAAATCTGATATTACACATATGTACAATCTGGAACCTTTACATGTCCAGGATTGTTTTAACACACACACACACACACACACACACACACACACACACACACACACACACAGAGAAATAAAGACACATAAAATATGATGTATGGCATGTTTTTCTGTGACGAAGCATCATTTCCTATCACAAAATGCCCTGGATTTCACCTAACGTTGGTTCTGGACTTTAACTTCGGTCTCGAATAGAATGATCTGATTGGTTGGAATTTTATTCTGACTTATAATTGACAAGAAACTTAAGTCTTATCTTAATTGTTGTCAAACCTGTGGCCAAACCTCACATAAATACATCTCCTTTTGACATTGAAGCAAAGCCACTTATTAATGCTTTCTTCATTTTCAATAAATTCTTCTATGTCAAAAAGAGGTGTATTTATCGATAACCCCAACTCCTCAACAAAATAAAAAAAATACCAAACCAAAACAACCCCAATGTAGTTACACTAAATTATTGATGATATAGAAATAAAATGGATTCGCATGAAATGAAAGCAGGTGCATGGGGATGTCTACATTCTGGAGTATGCACAAGTTGTCAGACGCATTATCAAATACATGGATATGAATAGGATACCAACATGCTGGCAAGATATTTACCAGAGAGGATCAGTAAATATAAAACACACTCATTAAAAGAGAAAATATTTAGTGTATGTGAGGAATTTTGTAAATTTCAAGAAAAAACAACTGTTCTTCTGAAAAGTTTAGGATGATTCGAATTCCTAAAATGGAACACGTGCACTTAACAAATTAACATACGCTATTTAACGGCTAAACAAATTAAGCTTTTCTTTTAAATACGAATTTTCTTTTCGAAATTGGATTTGGCATAAATATTTGGCAAAGTATCCGATCATGCTCACAGCATCTGTATACGAGTCCAACATGTGACTAAAAGGATTATAAATATAATTATATTTGTAAAATTCAATATAAATTTGTGACAAACACAACTGTTTTGTAAAAAAAACAGAAATTTTTGAACGATTTTGTCACAAAAAATGAAATAATGATTTGAATATCATAAATTCGTAAATCGCTCATTTGGGAATCTTACTTGGACCATAGTTATAATATAAGAAAGCGGGAAATCCAGGCAACGATCGTATATTCCCATAGCGTAACTCCTTCTAGACCAAGATTGCGCACAGCCCGCAGGATTTTGTTGCAGGGAGGGTGAGGACTTTGTGCTGTGTGTGTGTGTGTGTGTGTGTGTGTGTGTGTGTGTGTGTGTGTGTGTGTGTGTGTGTGTGTGTGTGTGTGTGTGTGGAGACAGCCAGTCACAGCTGGGACCGGTAGTATAAGAAGTAGTCTGACACTAAAGCTAATATTTATTAATCGTATTGAACGTAATATTTTGACACATATTTAGCTTCATTTGCATGATTTACTTGTCAGATTATATATATATATATATATATATATATATATATATATATATATATATATATATATATATATATATATATATATATATATATACATATATATATATACATATATATATATACATATATATATATATATATATAAATATATATATATATACATAAATATATATATATATATATATATATATATATATATACATATATATATATATACATACATATATATATATATATATATATATATATTTGCAGTACGATTTTTTTCCAGGGAGTCACATGACTCTCATTGACGCATGCTGAGGCGATCATGTGCACCCTGACTCCACCGCAAGAGGATGAATTAATTTCTAAATTTTGAATTTTGTCCCATAATGTAAAAATACCAAATCAATCATATAAAATGCTTGCGATAGGTATGACTAACTTTTGATTGGGAGTGCAGATTATCACGAAGAGCTTAGACCAAAGTACACACATACATGGACAGAAGAAATACCACGATCGAATACATTTCGGGAATAAGGCATCCGTATATCTACTATGTTTATGATTTTTTAAATTTACTTTTGGGGATTAAATATGTTTGCACCGGATCCAAATCATGATTGATCATTTTTTCTCACCATTAGTTTTGTCGGGAAAGGCTTTTGCATGTGCTATATTGAAAATAACAAGTTTTATTTTTTTAAAAAGAATATAATGCATTACGAATCCCTCATGCTCAAATTAGTAAATGATATTTCGACTCTGTTAATTTAGTCTAGTTAATTACCTTTGTATGAAAGTTCCATTTTCTCTGACTCAGATGGGAACAATATATTTATCTTCTGTGATCGGAAGACATTAGCTTTCATCCTTATTCTTTTAACCGCTCTGGTGGCCTAGTGGTTAGAACGTCCGCCTCGGATGCGGGAGATCGTAGGTTCGATCCACAGTCGAGTCATACCAAAGACTTACAAAAATGGTATTAACAGCTGCCTCGCTTGGCACTCAGCATTTAAAGGTTAATGAGAGGACTGGTCGGCCTGGTGTCAGAATAATGTGACTGGGTGGGACATAATGCTTTATGTCTGGGGCATGATGCCCCAGTGCCAGACATCACTATAAACTGCCACACTGCAGACATCGTAGCGATATGACTGAAAAATTGTTAAAGCTATGTTAAAAAATCATAATCACATCACATCACTTATTCTTTTAGATCACAATTAAGTAGCATATATAATTATTTAATTATAGACTGGTCTACAACTAATCTACATTTAAGTTTGTTAACGAAAGTTTAGGAGGAAAATAATAACGTTGAAAGAGACTTCATTGCTTGAGATCCCTTTTGTTATTTTAATCTCATTCACTAAATATGTGGTTGTGCACTTTCATTATTTCGATATTATTTAACCAATATTGAGACACTATTATTGGAAGAATATTTGATTATTAAATATTGTGAATATATTTTTACACACATGCATATTTTTGCACTTTACAGAATATTTATATTAAGAAACTCAACTATGTGGTTGTGCACTTTCATTAGTTCGATATTATTTAACCAATATTGAGACACTATTATTGGAAGAATATTTGATTATTAAATATTGTGAATATATTTTTACACATATGCATATTTTTGCACTTTACAGAATATTTATGTTAAAAAACTCAACTATTAAAACAGATGTTTATTTTCTGATAGAAATTAAAGATACTACCAAGTATGCGATAACGGTGATATTAGAAGCTAATAATTTCCTTTCTTATTTGCCTGACTCATTGATTTTTAGAAGCAAAACTTTTTTATGATAGTGTTTAGAAGCAAAACTTTTTTATATGATAGATCGTGTATTAAGATCACCTAAGTATATTGAAATATATGCAATTATTTTATATAGAATAAAGGTAACTTTGAAAATATGCATGGGAAATATAAAAATGTAATCTAGAATTTTCTAACCTAAATAAAGCAATTAATAAACTTTTCCAAACCTTCGGCGGGCACGTTGAACGATCATAGTTGGAGAAAATCTTCAAACCGTACATTTTATATGAATCTGTAGAACATTTACTCTAAAAAGTTCTACAAATTTACCATTAAATTAACTAAAAGTTAGACTGTCTAAATAATTACCGACTGAATTACTTTACCAGGGCCCCCATGACCTAGGTCTGGTTTGCTATTACATATGACATCATTCTGGAGAAAGGCCTTTTGTGGGTATCAATCTTTTAAACACAGTTATTCGTAAACGCAATAACAATTTAACAGAATATAGAATATCGGGTTTTCAAAAATGGAAATGTAAAACAGAAATCTTCATATTTTACATATGTATCTTAGCAAGATATAGCACAACAATTTTCTTTTCATGACTTTTACGATAAGCAAAACACAACAATTGTTGTTTATTTTCAGTTGTGTACTAGTTGTGAACTATTCAACATTAACTTGTATTTAATAATATTTGCTGTCGATATTGTTATTTATTTTTAAAATTGTTTCTTATTTGTTCTATCTTATACAATTTTGAAAATTAATGCGATCAATGGGGATAAGAGGTATATATTAGCAAGACAACTATTGTTGTATTTAGGAATGAGGTTTAGTGTTTATGTTAATTTAAAAGACCATGCAAAGTGGACATACTTCGTATTCTTGCTTATAGGTCAAATCAAACTGCAAACAACACTCTCTGCAGATCAGGGTCTATGTTGTTTATCCCAATGATTAATCCTATTAACTGCACAAACCCAGCTCTGTCGTCGCATTATGCAACGGCAGAACCGGGTCTGTGCAGTTTCTAGTTGAATGAATCATCCTTTTTTATGTGAGGATGAAATAAAAGTTATTTGAAACATATATATATATATATATATATATATATATATATATATATATATATATATATATATATATATATATATATATTTAGATTAAGAATGTGCAAAATGGGATTCCACCTTGCTAGGAACAGTGAAAAAAAAACATTCAATGTAGTAAATCTATACATGAACTAAAAAACAATTCACGGAATGCAATTGTTTTGATGAACGCTATTCGTGCAGTTTTATCAAATTTGATGTAAATTATCCTAATTGGGTTTTACAAATGTTTTAGCTCTCATCGATAATATTTTATTTTGCCCTGCAAGACAGATAGCATGGAAGTTTCTGAAATCAATTTTTCTTGGTCATGTTCAGCTTTGTGTGCAAATCTCCATTCTAAAGTACCTTTTGTTTTGTTCGGAAACTGTTATGCGCCTATAAATGATGTACTTTTGGCAATTAAGAACCGAATAATATTCAGCTGGGATTAATATGGTATCTTGATTTGAATTTATATGCAAAATGGTTTCAAATAACATCATTCCAATCCTTGTTAAGACCAACTTACCGGTGTTTTAAACCTAAATAGCACATTAATGGTATGTTATTCTTTTTGGATTGGAACCAGTTATATGTATCATATTAAGACCAGATTTGGTAGATTTTCTTGTTACTGATGCATATGCCAGATCATCTTGTTTTGAGTTATCACGATGAGCATTTAGACGGTGTCAGTTATTATGTGAAGTCTCCCATTGTATAAATAGTGGAATACGTATATTGCTGTGTAATATACGTGTGGTCTATGCACAGCAGTGCCATCACTGTTTTCGTGAAGAAAAGTAAAATTATATTTTCTATCTATTGAAACTATTATTATGCATATGTCTATATTTTGTAACTCCTGCTAAATGATTTTCTAATTGTTATATTTTTTTATTCATGGCTGTAGAATATACAGAATACATTTCGTAAATTTTGCCTACGCGAGCCGAACCTCTTAAGAGCATCGTATTTCATAGGAAAATAAGTAGATGCCTATGTATGTGTTGACTATTATTAATACTAGCCTTAAAAAAGGCTTAATGGCGCTTATAGCTTAATTTCTCATTGGCTGATGGGTTTTTGACGTTTCTAGAAGGATTCAGTGACTTCCCATTTGTTTGGCTTTGTCACATAAATACGCAGTTTAGATTCAAAATGAGTAATTTATTCTGTCACGTTGGGTCCATTGCGAAATACAGTCGCAATAGATAGTGTATATAAAGAGAGAACTGAGCAATCAGTTTCAGTCCGATTTTAGAATCATTCACATTTCTTGTGTTCTTGTTGCAAGTCTGCAGATGTGTTATATGTGGTACTTATATACTATTCAAGAAAAAACACCTTTTTGACTGTTGAGTGGAAATAAAAGTGCTAATTTTTGGAATATAATGTTAGTAGGGAACTATTATAAATCATTCGAAATAATTATGGACAACGCCGTAGACAGTGTCACGGTTCTTGTAGGGTCAGTATATATCCTTTTTTAATTTATAAGGAACTTTCATTTATTTAGGACTTTCATTGACCTTGATAAGGATTAGTTAAGATTCACTTTAGAATACTGTAAGTTCCTCTCACATTTTCATTTATGACTCCAATAATTTAACTGTTTGTAAGTTTTCAAAACTTGTAGGCTTTGCATTTTTATGTTATTTAGCTTGTGATCATATAGCCGTAACATTACTCAAACTTATTCCCAATGAAACTTTTAATGTGCTTGTATGCTATGCTAGCACCATCGAAGAATCACGGTTTGAACAATCCAAACGTTTTTACTTCAATGTAAATTTCCTGACAATAGAATATGACCAAAATACTTGAATGTTTTCACATTATCCGACAAAATTATTTAAATGTTCGAGTTCTTGAATAATTTACACAACACATAACCCTTTAGGTATTCTCTCTCTCTCACTCACACACACACACACACACACACACACACACACACACACACACACTGGTATATAACTGAAGATTCCCAGCATGGTGCTTTAGCTCTCTTATAAAGTCTCTATATGCGCACCAATCAATACAACTTGAATCACAAAAAAAGATTCTCAATTACTTAATTACGACATTAAAGACCCTATGAATCAAATAATTAACATATAATTGACATGAATACAAATGACTTAAATAAAACTGAATTATAAATTAATATATAATATATATATATCCGCAAGGTTATGTATGTATGTATGTATGTATGTATGTATGTATGTATGTATGTATGTATGTATGTATGTATGTATGTATGTATGTATGTATGTATGTATGTATGTATGTATGTATGTATGTATGTATGTATGTATGTATGTATGTATGTATGTATGTATGTATGTATGTATGTATGTTTTGTTGCAGTGCATACATGTGATATAGGTTTTAACTGTGTGATACATACTTAAAGACAAGATCGGTAGAATATCTTCCCGACATCGGAGTCTAACAAATATTTCGAAATCAATGCAGATTGTATGTTCATCAAAACTTAATTTTATAACTTCCAAAGGTAAATTTACTTTCATAAAAGGAAGTTCTTGATAATTGCAGATAAATTTGCTTTCAGATCAATTTTCATATTATTACACGCCATCAGTAAGCATTTTTTAGTAACGTGTAAACATTAATGATCAATGAGATGATGGGAAAGTAAAATCAAATTGCAAGTATTTTATTTCCTTATAATTCTGCGCTTGATCTGATATTGATAACATTGATTAAACCTTAACTGCAGCGAGGTTTATTTAAGAAATAAATTACACTAACTGACCTGTTATTGACATGATGAGCTGAAATGAAACTGAAATAGTATTCATAGATGTGATTAACTATGGAAACAAAACGTTGCTCTCCAGTAATCTGAACAAGATAATCAAACCGCGAGGGGCACTATCTGTCAAATTACCCATCTCGAGTCAACACCATCAATGGTCGATTATTAGATTCTTCCAGGCCTACACTACGCGTTAAATGGAATTTTTGCAAGAGCAGTTTGAACGATATTTCTCTTATCGTCACCGAATGAATAATGGCTAAAAGTTTCAGTCAAGTATCAATGTGTACATTTTGAATGTCGACAA